ATACATACACATACACACACACACACACACACACATACATACATACATACACCTCTGCCTTATTTAAATTTGCCACATGGAAAGAGTTTCTCCAGCCATCTGATCATTTTGATCACCCCTTTTCTGCATCTTTTCTGCAGCATGTTTTGCGACGCACTGGTCAGAACTGTACATGGTATTCCAAGTGTAGAATTAGCATGCCATAGATTTGAAAGCATTATGATAGGCATTTTAAAATGTGATTTGTTTCTTAATGGCCATTCATTTTTCTGATGCAGAACACTAAGAGATCTTTTAATTCCACCTCAATCTCTTCCCCAGGTCCTAGCTGATTTTACGCATCAAATGGACGTGCTCTGTAACAAGAATGGAGAAATAGAAGATTTATATTCTGCGTTGAACAAGTGGTCATTTGAAAGTAAGTTTTGTTTTTTTTTTAACTTGCAATCTGGGATTATTGCTGCTTTTTCTCTACACCAGTGTTTCTCAACCTTGGCAACTTTAAGATGGGTGGACTTCAACTCCCAGAATTCCCCAGCCAGCAGCTGGCTGGGGAATTCTGGGAGTTGAAGTCCACCCATCTTAAAGTTGCTTATTAATCTTAAAGTTGCTTATTACTGAATATGTTGTCCTTGGGGGCTGATCAGCAGTGTATCACCAAAAGTGGGCATTATATATTCATTGCATCTAAAGGACGGGGGTTGGGGATTATTTAAAATTCCCCAGAAACCAGAGAGGAAGACAGCCTATGAGCTTCAGCTTCAGTTACAAAATACCAAGCAATATTTTGGTATTAACTCTGAAATAAATTTCACATAGTATGCCATAATTTGTTTTAACTAATTTTGGGCCATTTTGATCTGATTCAAACATAATGTGAAGCCATAAAACATTAAAAAAAAACTGTAACTGGGTTTCTACATCATGGAAAGACTATTCTAAACAAATCAGTTTATGGCTGAATAATATGTGACTCTAAAGAATTGTCAGATGCAACTTCTCCTTGATCCTCATCCTCAAACAGAAAAAAAAGAGGTTGACACACACATCCTCAAGAGACAAAATAGCACAGATATACATATCAGGTCATTTAACAGAACAAAATGAAAACAGCAGTCTAAGTCGCTTTCCAACCCAGCACAGCAAGTCCACAAAAATTATTATATAATATAGGTAGCAGCAGTAATACATCATTAAAAAAATCCAGCTTCTTCTATTAAAAGTAGAATTATTTTTAGGGTGTGGGTTACTAACCAGTTGCCCTGTATTAACTCAACAAGGCTTGCTAGCTTATTTGCTTGTTTGTCGCTGACATTTTGATGCCAACATGTTTCCCCTCCACGTGGCTCTGAGCAGTATTTATGATTGTATGTTAAGCAAGTCTTGGCCAAGAGTCTGGGACGTGCTTTTCCCACAACTTCTTTTTTTATATACTAGGTATTTGCCTGGTGCTGTACGGGAAAAGGTTTGGACTTCTGCAACAGGACGTAGAGGAGGAAAGTTTGAACTTTATCAAGGCTATAAAAACGGTATGAAAACTCCATGAGCATGATAGCCGATTGATCTATAAGATGAGCAAGTCAGCTGTGTCTGCTTCTGTAGGAGCAAAGGGGATGCAGCCCAGTGATCCATCTACTTTACTTTTGCCTATCCCAGCCTTCCCTGCAATTGTTAGAATATTCAGCCAGCATGGAATTGAATCTGGGATATATTGCCTATACAGCATATGCCCTCTGAACTACACAGAGAAGCTGGAGTCAGGTCTTCTCAGTAGTTTGCATTGACTCAGTCCTTTGACCCAGTTGGATGGCAAATGTATTTGATGTTCAACAAGAGAATAATGCCATAAAGCTGCAAGGAATAATTCCAGGAATATAGGATACTGCCTTGTAGTGGGTTGGGTCACTGGTTGATTGGCAGCTATTCTCCAGGTTTCAGGGAATGTATTTTCCACCTTATATGAAGATGCCCAGAGACTGTCCCCAGGTCATTCAGCCTGCAAAGCAGGTATTCAAGTTCTGAGTGATAACCCTCCAGAAATACTTCAGATTGTTGCCCTCCAAATGATGGCTTGGACATATAAATTACTATGTTCACACAACACCCTTAATCAGGTCAGAGAAAGTCCCTAGTTCAACAATCAAAGCTTGGTTAGTTTTAATCTTATTAATTAGGGGGGCTTAGTATGCTGTGCAAACCCCATTTGCTAGGTAAGTGATAATTCTATATATTGTGTGAATTCTGAGAATGGGGTAATTCAGTAACCAAGTTAACAGTGTTGTGCAGTACAGTCAAATGTGTAAGGATCATTATGATTCCTGGTCCAGACAGAATAGCTTCTTGGCATTCTAGTTTTATGGCCCAAGTAAAATTTCTCTTGATTGAATCTAAGCTAACCTTTCTCTAACAGTAAAATATCTATTCTTCTGAACTTTTCCCAGTACTTTAATAATGGCCTTTATTCTTTTCATTATATATTACAGATGATGAGCACTTTTGGAAAGATGATGGTGACACCAGTCGAACTCCATAGAAGTCTAAATACTAAAGTTTGGCAAGCTCATACAAATGCATGGGATAATATATTTAAGACAGGTAACTAGAGATTTACAAGGGCATTTAAAATATTTTGTGGAATTGCATTTGCATCTTAGGTTTGGCAGTTGATTTTGCATCTTGCATCAAGAGACCAGTCTAAATATCTGGAGTTACATTTGTTTATCACAACCATCTTGTGAAAGAGGTTAGATCAGTGTTTTTCAAACTTGGCAACTTTAAGATGTGTAGACTTCAACTCCCAGAATTCCCCAGCCAGAATTCTGGGAGTTGATGTCCACACATCTTAAAGTTGCCAAGTTTGAAAATCACTGGGTTAGATGAAGACAGAATACAGGTCTTTGGCAAATCACTAAATCCCATGGTTGAACAAACATTTGATCAGAGTCACCCGTTGGGGGAGACGGGAAGCAATTTAATAACAAACAAACAAATAAATAAAAATCTTAGATCTCCCTAAGCCAGGCCAACAGACATAACAGGTCCAACATTCTAGAGTGGATATTTAACCTTTTTTCTGCTATTAGTTATAGTTGGTATGAATACTTGATTGCATGGCTTAAGTTCACCATGGAATGAGTAAAAAATACTAGAATCGACTAGTCAGTAAGGCAAAATTTTAGTTCAGACACTTTCTCTCCCACACAGATTTGAACATTATACTTGTATCCTAAGTTTCCTCCAGTGAAGCTCAGAGAAATAACTAGGGATTATAACAAAACAGGGATTTGAACCTTATCTTTGCACACTAACAGGCTTATCTTTCTTAAATGAAAGATGAAGCGTATCCCTTTTTGTAGACCAGGCTCCTAAAACCTGTGGCTCTCCAGCCATATTGGAACTGATTCTCCCAGAATTCCCTGTTTTCAGCCAGGCTAGCCAGTGGTCCTGGGAGATGCAGTCCAAATATATCCAGAAGATGATAGATTGGGGAAGGTTAGTCTAACCTGTAACATTTCTTGATGTTTTTGAATGTTTTAATTTCTTGTGTGAATGAAGAAGTAGACATTTGAGAATTGTACACCTTAATTGTATTGTTTAATCATCACTCTCTCTTTTCTCCTGCAGTGAAATGCTCTATTGACAGCAGGCTGAAGAAACACTCTGCAAATCCCTCTGAAGACTTCCTTTGTGACATCTACTTTGGGAGTCAGCTTTCGAAGAAAGAACTATATGCTGCTATTACAGAGCTTCAGATTGCTGGGGTTGAAACGGTAAATACCGGCGGCTTCTTTTCATTTGTGAAGAGTGGTTTCTGATTTCTGATCATCTCCCACCTACCTTTTCCCCTCTTCATTCAATCAGAGCTTGTTCTTCCTAGGTAGGGTTTTTATGGTTGGTATTGAATAAGAGGTTTTAGCACAGTGACAACATTGGCTTGTACATTCCATTTGCTACAAGATGCAACATTGCTGTAGTGGTTTTCCGTTTTTCTGTCTTCATGATTTCACAGAGAGTTCCCCACAGTGATGCCTTCCAGAGTTATCCCCTATAACTCCTGTCATTCACAGATGTTAGTCATGATGGGAGCTGTAGTGGAAAACCTCTGGATAACCCCAGGTTGAAGAAGCCTAGTGAAGTATAGCCTAAACTTAACTGTCTATTATTTAGCACAGCTCCATGGGAATGACGATCTGCAATTGATACTCGTTACCACTGGTGGTTGGCTCACGAAGTCACACAATATTCCATATTGTCATCTAGGTAACTATTTGGACATGTCCATGAAGTTATCTGGAGTTAAGGAAATGATTTTTTTTTTCTTTTAAACAATACAGACATGGGTGAGAAAAACGCCACAAGGACACTGATGCTTGTTTGGAAGTTGACATTTAGATCTAGGTAACTCTGAGATAGCTGACTTCTGCAGCAATCTACCATGATGAGACTGCAGTCTCTATCAGGGATGTGATTAGATTCAGTCTCTGAATAATACTTACATAATAATACTATGCTTACATCACTGCAGACATAGCACCTGGTTTTAAACACCTTAAAGCAGCTACATCCTTTCCCAAGATCATGCAGTAGCGGTGAAGGACAACCATGCAAATCCAGGAAAAGAGGTGGCTGCTTTGAGATGCTGTATTTGGGCTCCACATGCTCTGAAGCAGCTTTTAGAGATAGAATCCAAAATTCTGTACAGCCCTAGAATGTATCCTTTTCTTTCCCATATCTCCTGTCTGTGCATACAACAAATACCCATCTAAAGCAGAATCTTCTGGGAGGGGAAAGCTCTGGATTTCCTCTGTTGCCCTTGAACAGGATCTGAAACATACTAGAATTCTGCCAGATGTAGTCAATTGCAAGTAAAATTAATTAGGAATTACACAATTACCATGAAGGTAGACCTATGAGATATTCTGCCAGTACAGGTGAGAAGTAATGCAAAGAGTGCAAACTGGTGCCTCAAGCCATTAGAACTATTGCTGCCAAGTTTTAATTTTTAGTGTAGCAGAAAGGGGGAAATAACACTGCAAGCATTTAATTTCATTCTGACTAAATCAAATTTAGTTTTCATTCTGACCCTCCATTCATTGTTAACTTTTAGAAGTGTGCTCTTAGCTGACATTTAAAAGCTGTGGGAGGGAGGTCTTTGACTCTCCAAAAGGTTGCACGCTCTGATGGGGCTGATGAGACAAAGCCATCCACCCAAGTCTGAAGACCTTGAAGCAGGGCTTCATTCACACTTTTCTGTGTCCTATAGGGGTGTCTGTTTCATTCTAGAGAAGTCTCATGAAATGCTACTTGCATTCACTAGCATTCTCTAGAAGTTTAGAAAAGGGTGGAGAGTGTAAAGGAATTTAGTTTTGGACCTGAGAAAAGGGTGGGAGAGAAGAAATGATTGCTCAGTCCTGTAAAAGTAGAAAGCATGAGAAAGAGACTCAGAATGGCCCCACCGTGAGCTTGTTGTCCTTAAAAAGGGGCAATGAAGGTTTTAGACAGAAGTTCAAGATTCTGTAAATACACTTTACAACATATAAGTAGTTGGAATTACTGCAATATCTGTTTCTTAAATAGGCCTGCCTCAAAGAGCTGACAGGGAAGCAGCAAATATAGTTTATTGGGGATGGGGGGCAGGGGATTGTACATATATCTTCGCCCACATTTTACTTTTGCCTTCTAGCGTTCAGGCCAACGCCTTGCTACCGGTGCTCTGAATTTGCATTAAGGAAACCAGATTTTACTTATCCACACTTGAGACTAGAAGAGAAGGGCACAATGTTATAATACCCACACTTTCTACATTGCAACCCAGTTTTATTAACGATAGATATTCTTACATTAGACATACACAATGCTTTGGGGATGAAAGATTGCCCTGAGTGGTATGCTAGGAATCACACTAGAAACAATAACGGGTGGGACCAGGACAAAAAAAATGTGATTTTGTTTAATTTATTGTTAATTAAAATTAAATAGTTAATATGGATACCATTCAACTATGCATTTAATAATATTTTCCCTTCTGTTGCATTAAAAAATATAATTTGATAACCGAGGCTTTCGGGAGCTCATGTGCCCTCAGGACTTCAGATTGTCCATCTCTGACTTCCATCAACTGCTGTATCTCCAAATTGTGGAGTTACAGTTTTTTATCTAAGTTGTAAAGCCCTAATGTTTCTAAGTGTCTTCACTTTTTTTACAGAACCATTCCTAGGGTAAGACCAAGCTCAAGTTTTCTACCTACCAAAGGTGTCTGTGAAATAAAACAATTTTCCTAGTATGCTATTTTTAGGTTTCCTCTGTTAGTGTAACAATCTAGAGTGATTTCTACTGTTTTTTTAGACTGCCAACAGTTTACTTTGGGCTCTTTACAACATCTCCTGCAAGCCGGATGTCCAGGCAAAACTCTTTGAGGAGATACAGAATGTGGTTTCACCTGGAGAAGACCCAAATGGTGAACACCTGAAAAAAATGCCCTATTTGAAGGCGTGCCTGAAGGAATCTATGAGGTAAAATGATTTACGTACCCACGAGTAAAACTATTCTTCTCCCCCCTGAATTGGTGGCCATAGAGCAAAAGATTCAGGAAAGATTGCTCAAAGGAAGACTGATGTAAGATGGATATCTAAACAGAACAGGCTGAAATTTCACCTGGACTACCTCTTTCTCCTTGTTTGAGGGTAAGGAGCATGGGGCCCACCCTTGTTTTCCATTAATACATCCCATCTAAGCAGTATATTTTCTTCCCCATTTGTCTTTAGTAAGTATCCTGCACCTGATGGAAATATACAGAAGAAGGTTAGCGACAGTTAAATCAGCAGCTGTCACCAGCCCAATCTCCCAGAATGTCCTACTTCAGAGCATTGTGGGCAACTATGGTGGAGTTCACCCATGTCCCATTGAAACTCCTGAAAAAGGCTTCTAAGACAGCAACATCAAGGGCAGTGTCTGAGGATTCCACCTGCTGATACCATACAGCTTTTTCTTGCTATAGCCCATGCGTTCCCAGATATTACGCAAATATTCCAGCCCCCCTCCATCTTGCAGATCAAAACAGCCTATGTAGCTTCCAAGGCCATCTCATATCTGGGTTCAGGTCCAGTACAAGTTGCTACCTAATGCCAAGTCAATACAGTGGTAGTGTTGGACAGAGCAAGTTGTTTGTCATAGTCATCTGACAAATTGCTTTGATTGATCAAATGTGAAGATTTGTTCAAGTGTCCTAATCATTAAGTGTTTGGGTATATTCCCTTGGAAAGTGGGGGTTTCTTTTGGTACAACTGCTTTAAGGTTCTTTCCCAGTCTCTAAAGTATATAGCAATTTTGGTGGAAGTGTCTTCTCTGCTCAAAAGAATGGGAAAGAGAAAGAGCTTCAAAAAAGTCATATCAAATCTTTCTAAGAGATAAGAGCTATGATGCCCTGTGCAACAGGTTTGGAAAGTCACTTTGGTTGCTTCTGTAGAGCAGCCTTCTGGATGTTTTGTGCAGTCCATCTGATAATGTGTGTGTCCCTTGGTAGATATGTTTGACCTCAAACAGTAACCAGAACTGATCTCATTTTACTGTAGGTTAACACCTTCGGTGCCATTTACCACTCGAACCCTTGACAAAGAAACAGTCCTTGGAGATTATGCTCTTCCAAAAGGGGTAAGTAACTTCCACCACCTAAGTGCTTCATTTATTTTGATTAAATGGTTGAATTTATAGCCTGTCTTTCAGCCAACAATAGCACTTATATAAAATGTTCTTGACCTTATATCTTATCACATTTACTTACAGGCATGTCAGTGGTTCTGAGAGGTCCTGCAAAGTATTGGTGTGGCCAGGTCTCATTAATAAAATGCTTGATCCTCTTTGTATCATGGTACATGCCAAGCATCGTGTTGCAATTGCTTTTAAATCTCAAAGACTTCTTAGATGAACAGGAGATGACTCAAAGCTGCAAGGCCATAGGTACCCCAAAACCTCTTTTTTGCACCTCTCTGTAGCTCCTTCTGGCACAATTTCTTGCCATTTTGAGCTAGGAATTCACACAAGCTGTAATGTAAGATCTAAATTAAATTTAACATAGGGAAGGTTTTGTTTGTTTGTTTTTTTACTTAAGCTATCTCCCTCACCCCCCAAAATGCAGGAAAAATAGTCCTTATTCTTTCCATATGCATGACACCCAGTTTTATCCATTTCAACCTTTACTCACCCCTACAAAATATTATCTCTGGCTCCTTGCTACCAAAAAAAATTATCCACTCAGTATACCATCCAGCTTTTCTTGATCAGATAATAGCAATTTTCTCTGACATGGATTTATTTATTAGATTTATTAGGCCGCCCATCTCAGATAATACTTTTGGGTGGCTAACAATATGAAGAATAATAAACCACATTTTTAAAAAAAAGATGAAACATACAGCAACCAAGAGAAAATTACCAAAAAAAAAAAAAAATTAGCCAGCAGAACCAAGAAATGGGCTCCATCATACTTGGGGCCCCAAATTCAAGTATATTACCCAGATATTGCTGAGCAAACAGTGAGATATCCTTCATTTCAGTAGATCTTAAGTATTTTAGATTCTGCTCAGCCAGTATTCATTGTGACATTGTGGGGCTTATTTGGGAGAACAGAATAATGACAGCTGCCTTGATATCCATGTTGCTTTACAGTGGCCGTGTTCACACAGCTTGCTTAACCAGCTTATTCAAGGGCTTATCAACAGCATACTAACTGGTTAGAGTTAACTTGATGAAGATAATGATTTTTGCCTTGTGCAAACTGAGCCTGTTTGATTAGATTCAAGGTATTGAGTGAACTCAGAAAATGAGTTAATTCAGCAGGCAAATTAATTGTCCTGTGTGAACATGGTCAATATGTATAAGCAGACATGCAACCAGTGCAGCTCCTCTCAGTAAAGTTATAGGGGAAGATAAAATTATTTGTTGATTATTTAGTGAGCTGCCCAGTAAAACAATAAAATTCTAAAAATTCCTTCCTAAAATTCTTATCTTAGATTACAAAGACTGATCCTGATTTCTTAGGGGTATGGAAAGCTCTCGTTTCTGTAGTATTACTTAACATGCTTGAAGTCCGATCTTGATCCTGAAAATGACTCCAAATCAAATTAAATCTCATTTAACTTGGATTTAAAAAGCGGGAAAAATCTGTATTTTTCTCCCCAAGAATGCCATTTCACAAAAAAATTAAGACCCTGCCTCTTTTTTTTTTAACTCATTGGAAACATATCTTAATTGCAAGAAGGTTTGGAAATTATTTTCATAATTTTATCTCTTTGCTGTTGACCATGGTCTTTCCTTTGGACTGTGATGTATGTCTACTTTAGATGCAGCATCAACGTTTTGTTATAGGCGACTTCCTTGAGTCTTTTTTTCCAGAAGCAAAATATCTCTTGTTCCATGTTCATTAGCCACACTCATTTGACATTTCTCTCTCTGCCTTCCCTGCCTTGTAAATACACTTTGTGTGTTTGTGTATGTATTTACAGACTGTGTTGATGATTAACACTCATGCTCTGGGATGCAATGAAGAATATTTCAGTAACTGGAGTCAATTTCAGCCAGAGCGTTGGCTGCAAAAAAGCATCCATCCATTTGCTCATGCTCCATTTGGCATTGGAAAAAGGATGTGCGTTGGGCGCCGACTGGCAGAGATGCAACTTCAGTTAGCTCTCTGTTGGGTAAGCATTCAGTTATGTTAGATACATATATCTCCCCCCTTAATCTGTACAAAACAATCACCATTCTATGGCAGGGAAAATTTATTCCATATATGCTGTCTATACATACATACATTCGGCACTCTGTAATTTTGTTAATACCTGATGGTATTTGGCTTGAGAGAGATATCTGAGAGCCTAAGGTTTTCTTCCAGAGGACTCCAAGCAGAGAATACCGCAGCTTCGTATGCGCCATAACAATGCTTGAGCTTAATGCTCTTCTTCTGGCATGGCCACAAGGAAGGATTTCTGTATGTTTCTGCTTTGGTTTTGCGTTCATCGCAGTTCACTACGTCAACTGAAGCCAACAAAGTGTGATGAATCTTAATGAGGGTTAGAGGAAACAAGCCAATTTCCAAGCATGAATTATAAATTGGTTAGTTTTCACTCATTTTATGACAGTTCATGACTTAGCTGTGATTAATTTCCAATGGGTGCAGAAACTTGTAGTTTCCCTTCTTGTCACCGCACTGGAGGATGGAAGGGCAGAGCATGCAAAACTTTTTTTCCTATTAAACTGATTTATTAAAATATTAGTGGCAGTTTATTAGATAATAACCTTTAATATATCAACATTGATTTTTTTTAAAGTTGTAAAACAGCTTATAGATGTTCTTACATAAAGTATGTGGGGCCAGGATCTCCTGAAAGAACAATCCTGTGCAAGGTTTTCTGGGCAAGCCCCATTGAAAGGACTGAAAGGGTACATTGGTGCAACTTTTCTATTTGTATTGGAGGGTGAATTGTCCTTTTGACAAGATGAACTTCCAATTTTCATTGAATTCAGGAGGAGGACTCTCTTTGCAAGTGGTCTTCAAACAGAAGCTGGATGATACTCTATCAGAGATGCTCTAGTGAATCCTGCACTCAACAAGGGATTGGATCAGAAGATCCCTTCCAACTTTAGGATTCTGTAGTTCTATGTTGGCCTTCCAAAAGAGAAATGACCAGATGATGTACAAAGCATTGTTTAAAGCTTTGAAGTCCAGACATCTTAAAGTTGACAAAATTGAGAAACACTGTTCTAATGAATTTCATCTTTCCCTTTGTATTACAGCTTATACGGAAGTATCAGATTGTAGCAACTGATGACAAGCCAGTAGAAACCCTCCACTTAGGAATCCTCATCCCCAACCGAGAACTTCCCATTGCATTCAAACGACGCTAAGGTAAAAAGTCATGCTCCCATTATGGAGTTAATTATATGCTTGAGGTGATCTCTTAAATTCAAAAATAAAGCAGTTTCAGGGACAAAATGAGGGTGACTGGCAACCCTAATTCTTGTTTTATGCTTTTAAAAATGAAATTTCTAGCCCTCATGATTGCAGAGGGATAATGAAAGAAAAGAAAGGAGGAAAACAAAGCAACTTATAATCATTCTATGTTTCAAAAGTATATGCAAGCACAGATAAGCATTTGGGCCATGATATATATCCATTTTGCTAGGAATTAAATAAATAGGACATTTTAAGTTGGCTTGTTTAGTTTTAGTCAGTTAATTTTAAAATTTGGCCACTAAGGCCCTTCATAAATATATTTGCAAATAAAAATACGAGTAAAATTGTTGCTCTTTTCTTCCAAAACTGAAGAATCTATCATGTTCTCTCTTTGTTTTCCTATAGATTCTGTTGGAGGAGCAGTGGACCTTTTTGATAGACAACACTCTTGAATTCTCGGATTCCCAGGTCCTGCTAGAGCCTAGTTATATTTTGAGCAATGTGTGTTGACAGCAAGGAGAGAACAAAAGGATCCCTAAGCTAGCTTGGAGGCAAATCAGTCACGCTATGTTGAGCACACCTAAGCAGTCAGTTCACATTATTGTAAAAGCCAAACCCATTGCAAAGGTATGCAGTGGAAGGATGGCAGAATTAAAACTTGGCAGATGACAATAGATTTTTTTCATATAGTCTTGGCAAGAAAGAAAGATCCATTCTTTTTGATCTGCTGGTGTGAGATGTACAGTTCTCAGATCAGTCTACCCATGCTGTTAATGTTTGTAGGAAAACAATGATCAGAAAGAGATGGGATAAGTCTCTGAGTTCACTCTTGACTCAGGATGGAAATGCCGGAGGAGAAATTTTGCTCTGCCTGTTCCCCAATTCCTGATGGAATTTAAAATGAAGACCTTTGCCTGCAAGGGGGGGTCACATGATTGGGAAGGGGAGGGAAGCATTCTGAGGGATGGACTTTGTTTAGATGTTCATAAAGGGAAGAATGGCAGTAATAGATGTACTTCCATTTCTGCATTAGAGTAGGAGAACTGTGTTAGTCTATGGTGATAAGAAATCTGGAATGATGTTTGTAGAAATGCACAAAGGCTGTATTTGGAAAACAAAGTATGTCTGACTCTCACTGATGTTGCATTCTTGCAACTACTGGCCCCTTTAGTAAACTGAGTAACTATATACGGAGATGTATCACACATACACAGGCACGCACACACATAGACACAGACACAGGTTTGCAGGCAGACAGAACAATGACTCACATCATGGAATGCATACCACCCAGATTGTTATGCAGCCCTTCAAGGTGTTACATACTTTGGAGAACAAAACAAATAACTTGGGCTTGGACATGCGGAGCTATGTTTAAAGATGCACTTGATGACTCCATTATCCAATAAGATAATACAGGCAGACCAGTACAATGTATGTCTTACCAGATCATACCCAGCCCCTAAGTTATTTGTAGCAGCCCAACAAGGGTCCTATAATTTTTTTTCCCCCCCTTTTGCTGGCTGAGGAGTTGACTCTGTCATTAGATAAACTGATGCAACTTCCTCAAGTGGCAGATATTGGGGGGAGCAATGGCAGTTCTGGCCATTCCCTTCTCTCCATTGTAGATGCTCCTCACAACCTGTCCTTCACCTATTAAGCCATCCATCAGCTGTTCATATGTGGAATGTAGCAGAGGGAGACAGGCTGCCATCTTTCCCAAAGCCAACAAATGTGTCTTGGGCTGGCCATGGCTGCTTTTGTGGGAAGGCAAGATCATGACCTTTTAACTGCCTTTAAACAAAGAGTAAACAAATTGTTCAGTACAGTGTTGTACAAGTTCCATATAGGTTCATCATCTCTGAACAGAGAGCAACAAGATGGGATTCATTTTGCATCCTTCTCACGGGCCTCTGAACCACCGCTGTTGGAAATCGGATGCTAGCCTGATTAGACATTCAGTCTGGTCCAGCAGGGCTCCACTTAGGTTTCTGAATTCAGGCTGATGTGTCAAAAATTATGCAGATTGGAACATCAGCCTTACAACATTCCATAGAATATAAGGATTATAGTTCCCAGGTATTTTCTCCTATTCCTTTTGTCATAGTTTCCTTCTTATTTTGTTTGTACATGTTTTTTAATTGTATTTGTTTTTTTAAAAAAGTAAATGTGTTTCTTAAGACCTGTATATTTTGAAGAATTGTCAACAGCTTATTTTCTCTACAGAATGTCTTGTTTTTTTAAAGCCAATGTTAACATCCATTTCATCATTGATAGTTAAACCCACTCTTCTGAGAATTTTGTAATAAAAAGAATTTGTGGATATGATGTTTTTGTTTGCATTGAACATAATCTGTGTCTAGTATCTTCTTTCAAAATTAGTACAGTTTATAAAGATTTTCAGTGGGAATTGCTTGACATGCCTTCTCCTGTTCAAAATGGCTTCAAAAACACTTCAAAAAGTGGCCAGGTTTGGACAACACTGGTCTAATTGGACTAATAGACCATTATCAGAAAAACTCTTGTATACTTTGAGAAAGACAGTAGCTATATTTGGGGCAGGGAGATAGAAGTGACTTATTTCCCCTCTACAGTTTTTTGGGGGAAATTGTATAAAAATAGCAGACTTCACAAAGATGCCCGTAGGCTAGAAACCTGCAAAGTGGGAAAATGAAAAGCCATCAACATACTATTCTGCAAACACCCAGTTCCAGGTTCACCAAATCCCCATCTGGAATGAACCTAGCCCAAAAAAAAAAAAGCCGGGGGAGGAAAGGAAAAATCAAGCACTTCACTTCCATACCTAAAACTCTCTGACAGCACAGCCCTGCTAAAGATATTTTCTTTGAGTAGGAGCTAGAGTTCTCGGTCATAAAATTACACTCCACACACTTTTCATTTTATGAACATTTGGAAATACTAGGAGAATGTTATGCTTTTTTTGTCCTTGTGTTTTTCTATAGTTTCTCTGAAGCTTTGGAAGATCCGAGGCTTGGTCTTGATCTGTTTCAAAAGAATCTGGCTTCAATTAGCACAATCAACACATCTACCCAGTTCAGTTCAGATTTGGGATCAGGCTGAATACATCCTCAATAAACTTTGTTGTGTCCCAAACTATTTCTTTACCTTGCTTATAATTTCTGGATTACCACCATATATCCATTCTGTACTTTCAGCTGTACTTACAGCTTGTTCAATGTTTCCAGATCAGAATTGGAATAATAGTTAAAATTCTGGCTGAAAAGAAAGAGAAAGTATTTATAGGATGTGGATGGATGTCACTGAAAATTGTGCGAAGCAGTAGCTTTCTAACTTAGTCTAACTCATTCACACAAATGTCAAGTTGAAGTATTGGCCTGTCCAGTTTGATATGCTTCTCTATTGATGAGCAGTTAGCTTTCCAAGATTCGGGTAGTGGTTTTCCCACCATCATTCCCTGAAATATAAGACACTGAATTGGGATCCTTACCAGTAAACTATAGTCTCCTTTCACCTAGTAGCTAATGCTTGCATAAGCCATAGTGTCTCAGAAGTAGCTAAGCAAAACTTATTAGCACCATGCTCCACTGGTGGGTTGGTAGGCAAATAGAGTCTCAGAAGTGTGTAATGCTAACACTGTAAGTAGGATTTTTAATAGGAGAGGAATAAGAGAAGTGTTTAATCCAACATTATAATGAGCTGAGGCTAGGGAAGAAGTCAAAAATATTGTAAAGAGGGCTTCTTCAGATATGTTTACAAATATATATATTTTTTATTATTTACTTCAGTTAACTCTTAAGTGGTCATGACAAAAGGACAACAGGTTTTTCTTTTGTTTTCTAAAGTAGAACTATTCCACTTGTATTTTGATTCATTTGTCTCTGAGAAGAGCATACATAATCAGACAACTGTAAAGAATTAGCAGAAGAGCAGTATTCCAGCTGGAGCTTGATACTCATGGATTGCCTATTGACTTAGCTTTCATCAGATTCTACCTCAAGTACTCTGCCCATTTCTGGACACCGTATTTTGAAAATCTGGACACTGGAACAAGTTTGGAAAAGGGCAACAAGAATGATTAGGAACCAGAGGTGAAGAGAGATTAAAGAGACGAGGGATATAATAGCACTCTTCAAACTCCTGAAAAAAATGTCACACAGAAAATAGTTCTGTTTTATTCCAGAGTACAGGACATGGAATAATGGATTTAAGTTACAGGAAGGCAAATTCCAACTGAATGTTGGGGATTAAAAAAAAGCTTTCTGAAAATAAGAGTAGTTTGACAGAGGAACCAATTCCCCAGAGAGGTGGTGAGCTCCCCTTCACTTAGTGTACTCAAGCAGATACTGGATAGCCATCTGTCAGCGATGATTTCATTTGGATTCTTACTTTGACAAGGGAGCTGGATTTGATGACTTTGATGGCCACTTCAAAGTCGGTGATCCTATGAGAAGTTGCAGTATATTCTTGCTTAATATTCAAGTGTCAGGTATGACTAGAGAAACATGAGCCACATATAAGCAACCGATGGAATTTTGAGAGGATGTGATAGATTGTACTCACAAAATGGCTTCTTAGTTGACTGTATGAAAAATGGCTGCCCTAGTGGTCATGACCAGGCCCAGAAGATTTATCAGAAGCCAAGCTAGCAGCCAAGAATGTTTCCACCATCCTAATGGGACCTCTGTGTACCCGAAAGGCATTCCTGTAAATAAATATGATGCTAGAAGTTAGCGCTTAGCTTTAGATAGTGCTTTGTAACATGCCAGATATTTATTTTATTTAAAATAATGGTTTAAGAAAATAAAAGAAGATAATAACACTCATCAAGAGAGGTGTTTGCAGCCCATTGGGCTACCTCTTGCATAAGCTTTTGTGAGGAGACTTAGTCCTTCCCCTTCCAACAGTGATGGATTTGTATGTTATTCCAATCCAATTTATACAGGAAAAAAGGCAGGTGCAGAACTTGTCTTCTAAATGACTTTATGGACCTAACAAAATTGCTAGTGAGTAACTTAAGTGAATACAGTCTTGAATACTAAAGCCAAGCTGAATTTTAAAAAACCACATAGACTTTTACTGGAAAATCAATCTTTTCTAACATGTAAGCTCTTTCTGCCCAAACACACACACACACACACACACACACAAACAAATTAAAGAGCTATGCTGGCTAACATAATCAGAATCTATCTGGGTGGAATTACAACCTGAAGTATTTTAAATATTCACCTTTCTTTCTCACCTTTCTCACCTTTGATCCTCATAGCAAGACTGAACCTCTGCCCTAAAAGCCACAGAGCTGAACCTTTTATACCTTTGGATCTATTTATGACTTTTTACTTACCAAGCAAGATGACCGCTTCTGTTGCAACAGTCGGCATTTCCACCTGATCACCTGCAAAATGTAGACATGACTCGTTCTTAAAACCAGCTTACAGCAGCTTAACCAGTCAGGCAAAAGGACAATTAAAGCCTCGTGAACAGGCCATTAAAGCATTATTTGAGCAGTATAATCTGAGAATGTAAAAGTTTAAATGGGGCATTCTTTTCCAATTGATACTCCATATTCTGTGATTAATTTGGGGCTCTTATGACCTGAAAGACCAGGTCATGTTAGGGACAGATCAACATGAAGAAATCTATCTATGAGATTACTAAAAGTCAACATGAACTTGATGGCACATAATCAATGGAATACTTTGCTCTTAAGGCTTACTTTCTAAAACAGTGTTTTCTTGGTTATCCCAGATTATTTCTCTCTTGCTTCTCATTGGCCGGGATTTGGCTTTATTTTTGTCAGCATTCAATCACTTCAGTTCATTATTAGAGAGGGAAATATTTCCTAGCTCTATAGCCTTCCAGCATTAACTTTAAACCCCCAAATCTGCATGCTCTATGTTCGTGTAGTCATGGATACCAAATAAATGTTCCTATAGATGCATGTCAAATAGCATTTCTGAGAGATACAACCACATGTGTGCAGGGGGAATGAGAGAAGAATAGACTTTGGCACTAAAAATAAAAGCATGTGAGTCCACTGTGGTCAGCCAAAAAAACAAACAAATGGATCATCAAGTAAATCAACCCAGAGTTCTCACTTGAGGCATAAATGACCAGGGTCAAATTGTCCTACTTCAGACACATTATGTAAAGACTTAGCTCTCTGGAGAAGGGTCTCATGCTGGGAAAAGTGGAAGGAAACAGAAGAAGAAGGTGACCAGCAGCAACATGAATGGACTCAGCTACAGTGGTGATGGGTGCATGTTGGAAGACCTGAAAGACCTAGTTAGGGATAGATTATCATGGAGAAAATCTAGCCATGTGGTCACTAAACGTTGATAGTGACTTGATGACATGTCATCATCATCATCACATGTGAGTCATTGTAAACATCATACTTATTGCTAGGCTGATTAAGTTAAAAATCTCAGTGTAAGAAAGACCTTACTATGTACTTTGTTTTTGGTTTGTTTATCTGCATTTGAAAGTAGGATTTCCCAATTATTCCTTTAACTATAGTACAACACAATAATAATGTCCAGAAATGATAGATCCCAGGAGCTGAGAAATTAAACAAGGCACAGGGAATCCTCTTCTTTTAGGACAGTTGACAATCATGGAATCTCTAGCATCATCTTTATTCTTAAGAATGTAACTAGGACCATTTGGAATTCTTAGAAAGAAAAAGGGGATTGGTTCTAGCCTGAACCTTTGTTTGGAAGTGTGCCTACTTCCTCAGAAAAAAAGATAAAGGTAAGATGGGCTGATAGAAGCATAGGGAGGGGGCTTTCTCCCCTTCTTCATGTTTCTTCATCTCTTCATTCCTACAGAGACCATTGCTCAGTAGGAGAAAGGCCTCTCTTGCGAAAGCCCAAACAGATTGCTTGCAAAGAGCTTTTGTAATCTGGTGAAAGGTGGCAATTGTCTAACCCACATTCAGGTAAGCATAATTGCAAGAGTTGGACAAGAATAACAAGCTTCCCATGTTTTCACACTGGTGGGCTCTCTTAAGTAGTGCTGGGACAATGTTTTATCAGTCAAATATAATATCCTGGGCCAGCCCTACCACTGATCAAAGGCAGATAGCCATCTACAGCAGGGGTTCCCAACCCCCACCCACCTAAGAAGGGGGGGCCTTTCATCCCCAATTTATAGCGCCCCACACCTCTGCGTGTTGACGGATAGGGGGGGGGTCGATATC